CTCAAAGCTGAAACCTGTTGTTTTGTGTGTGTGTGTGTGTGTGTGTGTGTGTGTGTGTGTGTGTGTGTGTGTGTGTGTGTGTGTGCGTGTGTGCGTGCGTGTTAGAGAGAGAGAGAGAGAGAGAGAGAGAGAGAGAGAGAGAGAGAGAGAGAGAGAGAGAGAGAGAGAGAGAACCGGGCATATGTCAGGCGGACGTTCATTAAACGAGGCACCACCGAACCGTTTTTTTTCTCTCTGGCTACATTTCCTCAGGTTGAAGCAACACACAAAAAAATTTCGGTTCTTTCAGTTTTTTATTCCATTGATAAAAGAAGTCTGAACTTAGTCAGAAATTAGATTGGAGCACGCCACGTGGTTTCAGAAGCGCCCTAATGCGACAGCAGAACAGCTGCTGCAAAATCAGCCTTAAACTCACTTCCTGCTTGTTTCTTTTGTTCTCTCTCTTCTTTTTGGTTTCATTGAATGTTTTCTAATCTTTTGAGGACTAGAACAGCACCAGAAGCGTCAGTTGCTCATTTGCATTTTGGATCTGTTTAGAGAACAAAGTAACTCCTGCAGCCGCTGGCACGGTTTTTTTTAGCCAGGTCCAGAAACGCGGCGCGCCGGTGCGCATCTGCCGCGAACGTTCAACAGGCTTTGGAGCACAACGGACTCTGCGCGCTACTTCTGCCTTTGTGTGTGCGCCGCGCGCAGGACAGGAGCTGTGAGTCCGTCTGTGCGTAACGGGAGCTGGTTTTGTGTAACGGGAGGTTGATGCAGGACTGAAGAGGGCGGTTAAAGTGTCACGGGGACGTGCAGCCTGCCTGCCCCGCTTTCACTCTCAGCTGAGCGCGTTCCGCACGTGTAGGACCCGCTGGACTACTCGCACCTGGACACGCATGATCTTGAAGACCTCCGCGCACTTGCAGCCGGCTTTGGTGATGCCATGCCCCGGAACCACAGCGGAGACGAAGGCGGCACCGGGCTCTGGATGAGAACGTCCCCCGGCCACCGGAGTGAAGGTTACGGCTTGAAGGATGTGGAGTCTGGACGGAAGATGATGAGCTGCGCGGGAGACGGGTTGCTGTCAACTTCCTCCTCCGCCGCGGGAGGCTCGGACGGCCTGACAGGGAAGCAGGGTGCCCGGCTCAGCCTGCTTGGGAAGCCCCTGGTCTACAGCGCGCAGAGCGGCCGGAGGAACGTGCACTACCGGCGGCTCCAGAACTACCTGTACAACGTTCTGGAGAGACCGAGAGCCTGGGCGTTCATCTACCACGCGTTTGTGTGAGTACCTCTGGTCTGTTGCATTGACGCGCTCTAGTTGCGCACCTGTGATGTTTGGACGCTGCTTGGGTTTGTTTATGAGCTCAGAATTTACTATCAGGTCCAGAAGACGATGGTCTGGGATCAGTTCTGGATCAGAGTCGGGCTGTTCTCTTCCTATGTGGCTGTTCAGGGGTCTGTTAGTAGAGCCGCATGGGAACTGTTGCTCTGACTGTGTTTTGATGCCCGCAGTGGCGACGTTTCATTATTACTGTCAGAAACAGATCTGAGGCGTGTGTGTGTGTGTGTGTGTGTGTGTGTGTGGGTGTGTGTGTGTGTGTGTGTGTGTGTGTGTGTGTGTGTGTGTGTGTGTGTGCGTGTGCGTGCGTGCGTGCGTGCGAGTGAGTGAGCATGTGTGTGTGTGTATTTTTACGTTTTTTATTATTATTTTACTTGGAGGAAGAGAGCCAGTGGCCTTTCTGAGATGTTCAGTAGAAGTAAAAGAAATACAAATAAAAATCAGTAACCAGCTCAAATGTGAACAATTTAAGGCAGGACATCACATAATCTGTTGAGCATGAATATAATTTAACACTTTTCCTTATTTTAAGTATTTTTTACACATTGTGATGAAGAGAACCAGTCCTGACTGATAGCAGCAGTTACAAATTTGACTATAAACAGTTTATAACTGATCATTTATTATCTTTTGTGTGTGGCTGGTTGGGATTTGATCCCCAGACTCCCGGGTGATGGTTGTGCGCTAGCCAGTTCGCCAAAGGGATATCCTCCGGATCGAAACCTGCCTGGGCCCTCCTTTGAGTAGCCCCTGACTGCAGTACGCTGATCGGGGTGGGGCGCAACGTGGGCGGAGTCAAACGTTTGACTCCTGTGTACTGCAATCATGGGTATTTGCCTCCTTCCTCCACCTTGCCACCATCCATGTGGTACTGTGAAGTAGGTCCATGGGTTTGAAATTTGTGGCACCCTGCTCGGGAGCACGGGGCAGTGTTTGTGGAAAGAGGGGGGAAGATGAGACAGTGTGAGTATCCTGTCACTGTATCCCGATTGATCATGCGCCCTGGCTACTTGGCCAAGGGGATGTCCCTTTGGCTGACTGGTTAGCGTGTGCCTCTCACCCCGGAGTCTGGGGATCAAATCACGCCGGGGCTCTCCATCCTCCTTCCTCCTGCCACACATGTACTGCCCCCCAACACCAGGAAACTACACGCTGCAACTTTAACCGTTTATTTCATTT